CTTGTTAACATTTTTCTATTTAATAATTAAACTGTTTCATTTAAAACTATAGTTTAAAAAAACTGTCCTGGCTAAATTGCACCACAAAAACTCCTACTTTAGAGCAATGACTGTCATATCTAACGTATTGCGGTGTGTGTGTGATTATGTTTCAAGTCGAGCACACACACATACATACAAAACCTTCATGTGTGTGTGTCTGTGGTCAAATGTTTGCATAAATTCATCATGGACATGAATATCATGGTATTTGTGATTGTACAACATACATCTTTAATGAGTTTAAAATTTGTATTTAATCTAACATTGGCCTGGTGGTGGTGCAGTTCATTTTTTCTGTTATGTATAGATCTTTGTATGTATGCATCTTTTCTGTAATGTAAGTGCAAGGTGGCAGCTGGCTATTGGTGGGAGACTGGAGGCAGAAAATTTAAATTGCGGCCTGACAAGACTGGCCTTGCTCTGCCTAGTTCCTGATTTTAACTTAACTCCATTAAAAGTCTAAAACTAGACATTTATGCCCATGATGAATAGTATAAGATCAAAAGCTTTAAGTGATATCCACCTTGCTAACAAAATGTGTGACAGAAAACCGAGTGACCCACCAACTAAAGAAATGTGAAGAAAAAGTGAAGAAAAAATATTGTGAAATCTAACATTCATTTGGATCAGGGAAGAACAATTCTCAGCTGGAGTACATCATCAGAGTTAGGAGGAGATGAATAATGCTACCATGACAATATGTATTGAGAAATCAAAAATCCCTTCTGAAAGACACTTTGGCTTCTTCAGATTTCAAGTAGAGGAAGCTAAACTCCAGGTTAAATTTATCTAAGCTCAAAATCCTGTTTTACAGTACAGACTATTGGGCTTAAGTTCAAATAAACAAAGCCTAATGTGTTCAGTCAAAAAGAGAGTAATCATTAAGAGACTGGAAAAAGATGCAGTCTGATGATGAAGTTTCCAAAATGCTCCTGTCATTGTCGTAATTTATCTATAAGCGGTTTTCGCTCCTGTATACAGAAATCTTTTAAAAAAAAAAGTAATTGAAACGCTCAAAACAGACTTCTCGAGCAGCAAATCTTTCTACTCAGGTCTAAAAAGTACATTTACTGATTCACTTCTGAACTGATTTTATTGCAATTTTAACTTCACTATATGTTAAAGTTCACAATCAAACAAAAAAAAAACAACAACAACAAGAATGACTTTTTCCCACCACAAAACATTGAAAACTTCAAATATCTGAAAAGGTAAAAATTAATTGACGAAATTATTGGCAGGTCACATTTTATGATAGAGTCAAACTACTACATGCTGTGTTGCTTCACTTCTGATTTATTAACAACCAAAATCTTCACAAAAACATTAATTTTCCTCGTTAATACAAACTAAAGGAAATGTAACAAATAATGAATACTGTCCAACATCAGAACAGAATATTTATCCAAGTAGATTTTAATAAAGCATAAAGTCGAACTTCACTTGAATACATACCAGTCAGGTTACAAGCATTAAGAATTAAGAATTAAAGGCTCATAAAAAAACTATTTACTATTTAAATTTTTTTGTGATGACAAAGTTACATTTATTGAGCCTGTTTTAAGGTTATTATAAGAAAGTAAAATTAATCTAAAAAAACAAAACAAAAAACAAAAACATCTTGATAACTGAAATAACAACACGAAATGCACTTTTGAAAAAAAAAACCCCAACAACAACAACAACAACAACAACAACAACAGTACATACATTTAAGTAAAAATTAAACAATTTGTCCTCACACTACAAACCAAATTGAAATAAGTAAACAGCATACTAAAAGCTAAACAGAATTCAAAATAAAAGTTCAACTATAAAACAGAAGGCAGATGCAGAACTAATTACTGTGATCATTTTGTCTCTATACAG